AAAGAAGAGCACATGACAAGTCTGCTCTGTCTGCTCCACCATTTTCTGCCATGTGAGACCCCTGGGTCACTGTCACCACCACCAAGGACTTCGTCAGATGTGTTCCCTGGACTTTGGACTTCCCAGCCTCTGAAATTGTAAGCAATAAATTTCGTTTTCTTACAAATTCCCCCGTTCCATGTATTTTGTTATAAGCAACAGAAATGGACTAATACAGAAAACTGATACCAGGGAAGTGGTGTGTTGCTTATAACAAATACTCAAAAATGTGGAAACAGCTTTGGAACCAGGCGTTGAGGACAGGCTGGAAGAATGCAGAGGAACAGGCTAGAAAAAGCCTCGCTGCTGGTGGGAGTTTAGAAGACAAGAATACCAGGGAAAGTTTGGAACTTTTTAGAAACTGGTTAAATGGTGGTGAGCAGAATGCTGATAGAAATATGGACAGTAAAAGCCATTCTGAGAAGATCTTGCATGTAAATGAGAAGGGATTTATTAGAAACTGGGGCAAAGATCACTCTTGCTGTGAACTGGCAAGGAACTTGGCTGCATTCTGTTTATGCCCAAAAGCTTTATGGAATGTAGAACTTCAAGGTGCTGACCCAGGGTATTTGGCAGAAGAAATTTCTAAGCAGCAAGGCATTAAAGAAGTTGCATGTCTACTTTTTTTTTTTTCCCCCTTTTTTTCGTGTCCGGCAACGGATCACAACCCTCAGTGTCGCGCCCGTACCGGACCGGGACCGGCAACAGGATTGCAACCCTCGGTGTTGCTCCCGCACCTCGCTCAGCCAGTGAGCGGGACCCGGTCTGTACATGGGATCCGAACCCTCGGCGGGAGCGCCACTGCACTCTCAAGCGGCGCACTGTAGCAGTGCGCCACCGGGCCCGCCCTGCATGGCTACTTTTAACAGCCTACACTAGGGCCGGCCCGTGGCTCACTCAGTAGAGTGCGGTGCTGATAAATAACACCAAGGCCACGGGTTCAGATCCTATATAGGGATGGCTGGTTTGCTCACTGTCTGAGCGTGGTGCTGACAACACCGAGCCAAGGGTTAGGATCCCCTTACCGGTCATCTTTTAAAAAAAAAAAAAAAAAAAGATAACAGCCTACACTGAGTTATGGCAGCAAAGACATGACGTAAAGCCAAAATTTAAAAAGGAAGCAGAGTGTAAACATTTGGAAAATTTGCAGCCTGGTCATGGGGTAGAGAAGCAGAGAGCATTTTCAGGTGAAAAATGCTATGTCTCAGCCCAGCAACCATTTGCTAAGGAGATTAGCATAGGATAAAAGGGATTATGAAGAGAAGGGGGAAAAGACCTTGAAGGCATTTCAGATATCTTGGAGGCTGCATCTTCCATTACAAGCCCAGAGGCCTAGGCAGACAGAATGGTATCGGGGAACAGGCCTGAGATATCATCCACCGGCTCGCTTCCCAGGGCCACCTCAGGATGCTGCTCTCTGCACCAGTACTCTAGCTGCTTTGGCTACTCCAGCTGTTGGCTAAATTGGCCTCAGGTGTGGCTGGACCCACAGCTTTGGAAAATATAAGCCCAAAGCCTTGGCGGTGTCCACATGGTGTTAGGTCTGCAGACTCGCAGAATGCCAGAGCTGTGGAGGCTTGGCAGCCTTCACCCTGATTTCAATGGATGTATGGAAATGCCTTGGGGCTCAGGAAGAGATCTGTCACAGGGTTGGAGTCACCATAGAGCTTTCACTAGAGCAATGCCAAGCAGAAACATGGGGTTGGAGTTGCAGCAGAGAAACCCATCAGCGCCATGTCTAGTGGAGCTGTGAGAGCAGAACCACCATGGAAACTCCAGAATTGTGAAGCTACCAGTGTGCAACACCAGCTTGCAAGAGCTGAATCATCACCTCAGATCAGGAAAGCCATAGAAGCAGAGCTGCCTGAGGACTTGTGGGCCCAACTCCCACACCATTGTGCCAAGGACAATGAATATGGAGTCAAAGTATATGATTCACCAGCTTTGAGATTTAATGCCTGTCCTACTGGCCTATTTCTCCCTTTTTGAATGGGAATATTTACCCTATGTGTGTCCCACCCTTGTATCTTGGAAGTTGATAATGTGTTTTGAATTCACAGATAGGACTTTGAACTTTGGACTTTTGAGTTAAAACAAGACTTGGGTATGAAATGAATGTATTTGTATGTGAAAATGACATGAATTTTGGAGGGCCAGGGGCAGAATGCCTTAGGTTTAATGTATCCCCAAACCTTAATCCCCACTGTAACTGTTGAGGCTGGTAAATCCTATTACGGTAATTGAAAGGTAGAGCCTTGAAGAGGTGATTAGATTGTAGGACCATGCCATAGTGAATGGATTAATAATGGTAGTCAGGGGCATGGTTCTGTGGGCTTTAAAAGAAGAGCACATGAGAAGTTTGCTCTCTCTGCTCTGCCATTTTAATGCCACGTGAGACTCCTGGGTCACTGTTGCCACCACCAAGGCCTTTACCAGCTGTGTTCCCTGGACTTTGAACTTCCCAGCCTCTGAAACTGCAAGCAATAAATTTTGTTTTCTTACAAATTCCCCAGTTCCATTTATTTTGTTATAAGCAACAAAAACAGATTAATACACCACCCAAGGTCCATTCACATTAAGCTGCCCTTTCCTCTCAGCTCCCTACTCCCAGGTTCCTGTATCCTCTTTCTCTCCTCTGTCCTTTGCCAAGGGCAGCAATGGTCCCTATTGTTTCGAGGTCAGTACAATGCGATAGCCCTTGTGGTTTCCCTATGCCCACCCATACCTTTGTAAACAGTCCCTCATTGAATTAACCTCGTTGGAGGGGCCATCTGTTTCCTTTCATGTTCCACAAATTCATAAGTCATGAAGTTTAAATTATTTCATAACAAAACATCAAAATTATTTCATAAAAAAAATCAAAAAGAAAAAAAAAAAGTAAAATATACAAAGCAAAAATAGTTAGAAATGCAAGAAAAACAATTATAATTACAGAGCATGTCTAACATTCAGCTATTAACTTATGATGATCAAGTAGACAAAAAAATAAGGACACAAAAAATTCAAATGATGTAATTAAAGAAGCTGAAATTAATGAGATACACATACAAACTTTTTCTTATGGAAATTTTCAACCATACAGAAAAGTGGAGACAACAGTATAATGAACTTGTGTACATACCTCTTAGCCATAAATATTAACAATGCACACCCAATAGTTTCAAGTAAACTTATACCTGCTTCCCCACTCTGAAACAAATTAGATTACTTTGAAGAAAATGCTGACATAACTCAGGGATGGAGAGATGCATTGAAAGTGATAAAGCAGGCCTAGTAAAAGGTTGATGGTAGAAGCCTGAGGGTGGGAATGCAGACACCCTCTAAGGTGACCCCCTATGAGCCAGAATCTGTGACTTGTTCCTAACCAACATACTATGCAAAGGTGACAGGATGTCCATCCTATGATCATGTTATGTTATATAAACTTCTGCTACAGCAGACTAGAGAGAGATTCTCTAACTGGATTTGAAGAAATACACTGCCAAGTTGTGAGAAGGCCACGTGGCAAGGAACTATGGGTGCCCTCTAGGATCTGGGAGCACCCCTCTAGCTGGCTGCTAGGAAGATAATAGTATCTTCCTCCTACAACTACAAGGCAATGAATCCTGACAACAACCATAAGCTTGGAAGAGGACCCTGAACCTCAGATGACACAGAGGCCCTAGCCAGCACCTTAACTGCGGCCTGAGAAAAGCCTGAGCATGGTCAACACCAGTTGGTTGACGGGGGTGATCTTTCTAAGATCCAAATCTGATCCTATTAGAGATTTCTGCTTCAGGCAATGGTGGACTAGCTTGTTTCAGACCAACAATCAAGTAAGAGCAACCAGAAAAACCAGACAGAAAAGTGTTTAAATCTGATTGACGTCATCATAGAGTTACAAAGGCAGAGAGGACTTGCGGGATGAAGATCTTGGAGCAAAGTGAAGCCCAATATATGGTAACACTTTTTCCTTTGAGGTTTTGCCAATTCAAAAGAGGCAGCCAGGGCCGGGCCAGCCCGGTGGCGCACTGGAGAGTGCGCTGCTTGGGAGCGTGGCGGCGCTCCCGCCGAGGGTTCGGATCCCATGTGGAGACCGGTTCCCGCTCAAAAAAGAGGCAGCTGAATGAGTGAGAAGCCATACAGAAAGGGGGAAGAAAGTAGGCAGAAGCTTAGCAGAGCTGTCAGTAATCTTGGGCTCAGGAGATGAAAATATAGAAGCTTGGGGTCCACAGGTTTTCAACCAGAACCTTAAAGGCTACACCCTGGGAGTAGGAGAGCTTGGAAAATAGAGTAGTCTCTATCTCTACAAAGATCAAAGCAAAGGTTTGAAATAGCTCTATTCCTGATTACGTTAAGGTGGTCCATCCCTAACCACCTCCCAGAAGCAAAAGTAAATCCTGCAAAGAAAGATAACATTAACCAGAGCCTCAAATTATTTCTACAATTGTTCAAACAAAATGTCCAGCACTCAATCAAAAAGCATCAGATCCAGGATTTATAAAGAACTCCTAAAAATCTATAAGAAAAATGGCAGATAATCCAATGGTGGGGCGGGGGGAGCAGGAAAGAGCAAAAGACCTAATGAGATATCCAAATGACCAACATAGTAAAAAAAACTTCCATAATCAAAACAGTGTTATATAGGTATGAACAGTGTTATATACGTATATTATTTATGTATGAAGAGATACATAAATCATATGTAAGAATTTAATATAAAAGTAAGTAAAATAAATGAGTGAGAAAAGGATAGATGGTTATGAGTTAACTGGGGAAAGATCAGATTTAAGGCTTTTGTCAGAACATCAAAATAAATCTTGGCTGATCTATACAGTGAAATGCAAAAGAGAGACAGAGAAATCAAAAAACAACGTGGAAAGTTAATGAGAAAGTTTCCCCTGACCTTCAACACTGTCATCACAGGTGAGCACAGCTGTGCCCAGGAGACGGGGGCAGGGGCAGGAAGGGATGGTAACTACCGCATCAATCTCATTGAGGACCTTCCACTGCTCGTAGGGCACACCCAGCGCCTCGGCTGTCTGGATCGTCCTCTTCATCTGGCTTGTCCAGACCTTCAGATCCTTGATGTTCTGGTCACTGATGAACTGGGCCAGACTCTTGGCAAACTAAAACACATCGCAAGCAAATTCAGACCCACAGGCCATAGGCTGCCCTCAAAACACCCAAGAGCCATAGGGTCCATGGGGCCATGTCCAACCTCAGAGAACACAGGTTTGGTAAAAAACATGAACTAACCTCTCGATGCCACACATACCCACAAGTACTGTTGTGCATCCTCCCTAGACCTTGGGCACAGTTCCAGCCATGACTCATCAGGTCCCCTGACACCCCCCCACCATGTGCCCTAGGCTACATGACCTCTCCATTGAGGCCTCAATATGCCCCCTGGACTGTGGCACAGCTGTCAGCTGCACTGTAGGAACTCAGGTCACTTCCAGGGTATCATGTCTCTCTGAGGAAAGGGGCTCAGCTGGTGACAGCTCACATGGAAACCAAAGATCCAGGCATTTTCGTGGTGCTTGATGACCTGCCCTACATGATGAGAACATTCTAGACTAAATGAAGGTCATGCACCTCAATTGCATATTAGCTACTAGAGTGGGAGTCCAGCCCCAGTGCACACACCCATACATACACAACCACCCGGGGATACCAATGTGCAGACACAGACACACAGACACACACACATGCACTGACCTCCCTGCCCCGGGGAGATAGTCCTGGGTCCCCGCCAATCCGGCCCTTGAGGTTGAGCTCACTCTCCCCATGCCGGCAGAGGTAGATGGAGCGGGGGGTCACATGGATGTTCATGAGGTAATACACAATGCGGCTCTGGATGTGGTCAGCCACACGGTTCACCACGTAGCTCTGCCCCACATCCATGATCTTGATATAGGACAGATCCCTTTCCAGAGAGAAGGTAGAAAGAGGCCTGTGAGTGTGGCTAGGGTCCTGGGAGGACATGTCTGGCCAGCCACAGAAACCAGCTGCAAGTCCTCGTATCTCCAACCACCAGGCTTGAGACTACAACACACAGGACCCTCAGCTGGTGTGCGAGTGATGGGGGTGAGGGGGAGCAACACAACACATGTGACACATGGACAAACCCTGTGAGAGGTGCTCAATACTCATCATGCTTCCAAAAGGTGGCATCCAAAGTGGGGGTCAGTCATACCACATCGTGACTTTTACCGCTGCTCGTGTCCTCCCTGGACCCCTTCTCGCCTACCTCTGAGCTCTCAACGAACTGTCTGTAAGTTGAACCAAGAGATGGTTTCCCAGGACTGACCTGGGAGTAGCTGGCAAATGTCCCACTCCGCCACTCTTCCTGACCAGCCACCCACAGATCTGGCCTTTCCTTCCCCCAATGACCTTCTCCCCGTAGAACACAGTCCCGGTCATCTGTATGTGTCGAGCAGCTGCCACACCCCACAGTAGGCAGCGGGTGGACAAGACAAGAAGCACGGTAGGAGGGTGCTGGTGGCAGCAGCCGATAAACCCAGCCCAGCCACTTTCTCTGCTCTGGCCCCTTTTCACTTAATGCTGTGTAACATATAGTTTCCCACATCTCTCTACAATTATGATTTATAATCGTGTAATATTTTACCAAGGGCTACACTGTTATTTACTTAACCACTGCCCCATTTATACAGTAAGGACAGGAGTTGGCAAACGATGGCCTGCAAGTCAAATTCAGCCCACAAGCTGTCTTTATAAAGCTTTATTGGAACACAGTCATGCCCATTTATTCACACACTGTTTCTTTGACACTAAAATGGCAGAGCTGAGTAGCAGCAACAGAGACTTACTACCCCCTCCCCCAAGCCTAAGTAAAATATTTATATCTGACCCTCTACAGAACAGGTTTGCTGACCCTGCTGTAAGGCCCTCAGCTGAATGCCCCTTATGGGCCTAAAGCGCCCTCCCCACCCAATACTCTTGCTCAATCTCCCATTCCAGAGGGAGGTGGGTAGAGCTAACAAGCACAGCCACTGTCGTTATTCATAGGCAGGGTCATCTCTGCCTTTTGGTGTGGTCCCCAGCCACCACCATGGGCAGCCATAAGGAAGCAGCCAAGTGGGACCTCATCCCCCACCCATCACAGTGCTTTCCTCACTCACCTGTCTAGGTCCTCATCCAGCGACTCGTACGAGTTCTCATAGCACTCAATGCGCCTCATGAAATCCTCTGTGGCCTCGTCACTGTCACGGTTGACATAGTCAGGGCTGCCCAACTTCACTTGCTGCCAGAGCCAGGCACAGAGCAAGGACACATCAGGGTTGGAGGCCAGGTAGGGCCAGAGACCAAGGAGACTGCTGGGCAGGGGACTGGTGGAGGCTGGGCCTGAGGCCAGGCCAGGGCTGGGGACCTGAGGCAGAAGCTGACCTAGTGGGGCTGGTCCCATTAGGAAGAGTCCAGCAGCTCCCCGGTCTGGGTTCTCACACTAGTGCCCAGAGGCCATTAGTAAGCATCCTGAGATCGGAGTCCCTCATCTTTGTGGTACAGGGGAGGCCTGGAAGCCTTTCGCCACCCTGAACTATCTTTCCAAACCCAGATGGTCAGTCATTCCTTAGGTAAATGGTGGGGTGGGAGGTGAGTCTCTCCTCTTTCTCTCTCAAATATAAACACCTCCACCCCTACCCCTAGTGTAAGCTGCCCTCCCATTGTCCCGGGGTTCTGAGGGGGAGGAGGAAGGAGAGGGAAGGTGAGGAGAGAGTGAGAATGGTCAGTCACCAGCCACACAGACCTTCACAGGCCCACCTGACCCAGCGCTCCAGGTGATACTGCTTCTCCACCCCACAAAGTTCAAGAGGTCAGATTAAGGTCAGTCCAGGCATCAGCCCAAATCTGGAGAGGGACCTCACTGTCATATGCTACCTTCTGTTTTATTACTGCCCCCAACAAGGTCAGATGTGCCACTCACCACGATGTTGGCAGCTATGACCTCAGGATCCACACAGATGGACTCAACAAAAAAGGTCTGCAGCAGGGACCAGAAGCACCAGGGTGGGCAGCAGGGAAGAAACCACAAACACATTCAGGGCTCTGGACCTTGCTCCATCGAGCTCTCCATCCCTCCACCCCTCCACCCCACCAAGGGCCATGCAGAGCAGCAGCAAGGCCCTGAGGCCCTTCTTCTCGGGGGTGAGGGCAGGTCAAGGAGTTTGGAGCTAAAGCAGGTGCCACCCTATCCTGGACTCTCCCACCAAGACCCTCTTTTCCCTGGAAAGAAAATCCCAGATGGATGAGCCCCTCTCATCCCAAATTACCCTCAGGAGCCAAACCAACCCAATGCCCCGCATGCAACAGGAGGCTGTGAAAGGAACTCCAGAGGGTCCGGACCTGCCACAGCCCAAGCAAGGAATGGAGCCGAGGAGGCCTCACCTTGTAGCCATTCTGTTCCCCAAAATTAAAGATGGTCGCCCTTCGTTCTCGGGTGGTATTTGTTGCATCAAAAACCTAGGACCAGAATGGGGTTAACTTAGCCTCCGGCCATGGGGAAGGTAGGAGGCCACCCGAGGGCTATAGCACAGGTATCTCTGGAGATTGCATTTCTCTCCAGGACCAGCTGCTGCCCAGGCCGCCTGCCTGGCCAGTTTCCTTCAGATGTGCAAGGGCTGGGCTGGTCCTCCCTTTCCTTGGAGAAGATATCCCAAGGAAGCTGGCAGAAGTGGGCACCTGTACTCCCAGAGGAAGGTACTCAGCATTCCTCTGCACACAGCAGGTGCTCAGTTCATGTCTAACCAACAGGAATTCCAGTGGCACCTGTTAAACCCAATGAACTGAACCTACACTTATTTCTACTCCATCCTGAGATTCCAGTAAAATGGAAACAGAACATAAAGAGAACAAGAGGGGAGAGGACAGGAGATGGAGATGCCAACACAGTTTTATAAGACGGACACATGGTGACTGACTCAGAGAAATGGAGAACACCAAACACAAGGGCTCACCAACCAGAGCACACCACTTTCACAGTACCAGGACACTCAGGAATGAGGCCAGGCCAAGGGTAGGAGGAAATGGAGGACTGGTTTGAGGTCCAACAAAGTGCAGCAGGAGCCCAGGCCCACTCTCTGCTCTTCCTTCCAAGCACTGACCCACCCAGGGCTCCTCAGAGTACCTGGAACCTACCCAAGCACCCTCCAGTGCAGCCACCCATCCGCATGTCCAAGCAGCTTTATCAGTGTCATTTTATATAAACAGCAACCAACCCGGGCTCACTGGACACTCTAGCAAAACTTCTAATGAGAAAAACAAAGACTAAAGCAATCAAACAGAAAAAAAGGAACTTGGAGAAACTGAAGACAGGGCACAAAACAGAAGAAAACATCAAAAAAAACCTCTACAATTATTCAAGAAAGATACAACAGGACTTAGTAAACATGAAATAAGAGCAGAGTTCCAAAATACGGGAACCCTCAGAGAACAAGAAATATAAAATGGAATCACAGAACTTTTAAAAAATTCAACCAAATACTTGTTAAGACATTGTTGAGGAAGTCTCCCTCAAAACAAAAAGGACAAAGAGAAAAAATAAGGGGAAAAAAGATAAAATGAGGGATGAAGCCTAGCACGCAGCCACCAGGAGTTCTAGAAAAAGCAGCTCAGAGAGTGGGAATAGGGGAGAATGAACTGCCAGAAAGCAGCAGAGCATCAAAATAACGATACATGAGACAATTTCCCTGACCTGGAGAACAAGAGTTTCCTGACGGAAAGCCACACTCCCCGCCAGGATCTAGCACGGTGGAGCAGAGAAGACCCACCACAAGGCACATCACCTTGAAGACCCTAAAGGTCTCCCAAGAGGAAGGGGCACGAGAATCCCCCAGCTACCTCCAAGAGATGAAACGTTTAGGAAGATCAGTAAATCAGAATGACAGACTTCTCCACGGCCACGCTAGAAGCCATAAGGCAACAGAACAATGTCGCAGAAATCCTAAGGGAAAAGTACTTTCCCTCCAGAATTCTACACCCAACCATCAAATCTGAGGATAAAAAAAGACATTTCAGATATGCAAGGTCTCACACAATTTACTTCCCAAGTACCTTTCTTAGGAAGCTACTGGAGGATGTGCTTCAACAAAGCAAGTAAACCAAGGAGAAAAAGCCATGGGATCCAGGAGCAGGACATTCAACCCAGGAGAGAGGAGAAGGGAATTCCTAGGTGCCAGCTGTGCCATAAGCAACTAATCCAGATTGGAGCTGGGGGACAGACAGTGCCAGGAGGCATGACTCGAGGAGGAGAAGGGAAGGGGGAAACAGCTCCCGCGTTTGACTGCACAGGGCTGGGGTAGGGCCCTTCCCCACAGACATCCCAGCTCAGCCTTGCCCCATCCTTCCATCTGCCTGGAGGGGCCAAACACAGCTGGAATTCCCTCACCCAGGGTTTTGCTGGTTCCTGGAACAGCCAGTAAATACTGGACAGGACTCTCCCCACATCAGGAAAAATCGCATGTGCTAAAGACTTAGGTTACATGATACCCCTAACTTCTGGGATGGCCAACAATGAAAGTATTCAGAGGAAAATCCGACAGGGTCAAATGCAGCCACAAGCCCAGAGGGAAATTCTTGGCCCAGATCCAGCCTCTGGCTTCCTCTATAGCTGCTGCAGACTTCCTCCCAAGGGCCAGCACCCAGGGGCATTGGGGACGCACACACCCAGCCTTCCCCTCCAGATGCCTGAGGAGCAAAGGGGTAGATGTGTGTGGGCTCCCATGTGTCACTCCCAGCTGTCACCAGGACGTCACACTCACCGCCACATGTCCCCCCTCCTTACTAAGGAACCTCCGGACGTCACAGAGGGCTGCCAGGGCACACTGCCTTCAAGAGAGAAAACACAGGGTCAGCCCAGCACCCATCCTTGGCTGTAGGAGGGCAACAGGTCAGGGACACGCCCTACCCAAGACAGGAGAGGGGACAGCCCCTAGGTCTCCTTCTCTTTTCAAGGGTTCTCTTTTCTTTCCTTGGGATAACTTTCAGTGTTTGGCTAACTCAGCTCCTGTAAGGTGGAAGGTTGAACACTCCTGCCCATTAGAAATTTTTTTTTAATACCACTTTTCTGTATTTTCCCTCATCATTTCATTATATACAAATCCATGCTGCTATTTTGCCATATTCATGATTTCTAATTGCCATTCGTTTTCTCTGGTGATCAAAATGAGCCCTCTTAAAATCATACTTATTACTGTGCATGTGAGTGTCAGGGCTGGTGGTGGGGAGAGGAGAGACACTATGGCTGGCACTCAAGGCAATATTAGGCTTAATGTTTGATTTTCTTTCCTGGAAGAGAGAACTCCCCAACCACTCCTTCTGGAGGAAGGTGTTGCTTCTCTGCCTCTACACCTGTGACCACAGACCTTCCAGAACATGAAACCCTACTCATGACTATGCTGTCTTCAGAACATCTCAGCCTTTTCATTTATTACTGCAAAATGAATTGGCACATATAAAAATCTTTCTCATTTTACCCACTCCTCTAGGGTCTGGAGATAGATAAATTAAAGTCATGCCTTGCTTAACAACAGAGACATGTTCTGAGAAACACATCATTTTAGGCAATCTTGTTGTGGGAGCATCACAGAGCGCACTTACACAAACCCAGACGGCAGAGCCTACTACACACCTAACTATGTGCTATAGCCTGTTGCTACTACATGATTAGTGGGTTGAGCTAAGACATTACAATGGCTACAACGTCACTAGGTGATAGGAATTTTTCAGCTTCGTCATAATCGTATGGGACCACTGTCGTATATGCAGTCCACGGTTAACCTAAATGTCATTATGTGGGGCATGACTGTACTTTCACTTTTTACCTATTACCTTCACTTTTTTCAGTATAAGAGTAAAGCTAGATCTCCTCCCATTTGTCTGATCTTTGGATTTTGTGAGTAAACAAACTCCCAGTATGTCAAAGTCAAAGGCCAGTGCTGCCAGGGCTCTCATCAGGCCAGCGTGCCTGAAATATGAAGGCAGAAGCTGATCAGAGCAGGTTGTAGCCTGCTGGGAGCCACAGGGAAAGTGATGGCAGAGCTGAGTCCAGGTCACTAAAAGGAGCTCTACTCCTATGCTTCCCTGTGTCCTTTCTGTGCCCAATGGGTCTTTCAGTTAAAGCCTCAAAGTGTTTTCTTCTTTTGCCAAAAAAAAAAAATCTCAATTCTGAGAGTTCAGAAAACTGTCATTGCTGGGGCCTTTCTGATACTTGCATATACAGCCCCATAATGTGGACTAAGATCTCTCGTAGGCTGCTCTGGCCATGGCTCCACCATGCGGGAGGGATCTCAGGGCCCCAGTGGAGATGCTGAGGGAACAGCCTGGGAGCCTGTGTGTGCATGTGTGTGTATGAGTGTAACTGTGCACAACATGCGTGAATCCACATGTGTGGGTGGGTATATGTGAGTGTGCTGCACTCATGTGTGCACGTGTGTCTGTGAGTGTGTATGTGTAAGCATTCCCTGAGCCCATGTGTGTGTATAGCTGTGTATCCGGGAGGGATCTCAGGGCCCCAGTGGAGATGCTGAGGGAACAGCCTGGGAGCCTGTGTGTGCATGTGTGTGTATGAGTGTGACTGTGCACAACATGCGTGAATCCACATGTGTGGGTGGGTATATGTGAGTGTGCTGCACTCATGTGTGCACATGTGTCTGTGAGTGTGTATGTGTAAGCATTCCCTGAGCCCATGTGTGTGTATAGCTGTGTATGTACACATGAGTGTGCCTGAGCCCTTATGTGTGGTATGTGACTGAATGGGCACAGGTATGAATGAATGTGTCCACAAGTGTGCACATAGGACATGCGTGTGTATGCACACATGTATAGGAGTATCAATTTTTGTATGTGTGTGTCCGAGCAAGTGTAGACAGGATGTGCATTTGTGTGTGCCCATGCACATACATATGGTGTGTACACACACCTTCATGTGGTATATGACTGTGGGAGCACATATATGAGCATGCTTGGTGTGTATGTGTGCATAGACCCACGTAGTGTGCACATAGGACATGCGTGTGTATGCATACATGTATAGGAGTATCAATTTTTGTATGTGTGTGTCTGAGCAAGTGTAGACAGGATGTGCATTTGTGTGTGCCCATGCACATACATATGGTGTGTACACACACCTTCATGTGATATATGACTGTGGGAGCACATATATGAGCATGCTTGGTGTGTATGTGTGCATAGACCCACGTGTGCATATGGGTGAACACAAGTGTGTATGTGCCCACAACGCGCCTATGAGGTATACGTGTGTGTGCAGCACCCACCTTCATGTGTGGTGGGTGACTGCATGTGTGCAGAAGAGTTAACAAAGCAGGCCTAAGTATACTACCCTTCGAAAGTCCTGCTTGTAAAGTTGGCTCTTTGCCGGGTCTGGGAACTTGAATAATAAACAGCTCCCTATGTTGATATAAAACCTTCCCTAAATAATAAGAGCAGCTCACTGTGTCTAGACTGTTTACACAAACAATATGGTTTGTGCTGAATACTGCTTTCCTTTTGGGAGTCTGGAATTTTGGTATGTGCTACGCACAGGGTGCCTGTGTGACCAGCCCCCAATAAGAACCTTGGTCACTGACTCTTGATGAGCTTCCCTGACAGACAACACTTCACATGTGTTGTCACAATTCAATGCTGGAGGGATTAAGTGCATCCTGTGTGATGTGACCAGCCCCCAATAAGAACCTTGGTCACTGACTCTTGATGAGCTTCCCTGATAGACAACACTTCACATGTGTTGTCACAATTCAATGCTGGAGGGATTAAGTGCATCCTGTGTGACCTGGTTTCCTCTGGACTTCATCCCATGCCCCTTTTCCCTTTGCTGATTTTGCTTTGTATCATTTCACTGTAATAAGTCTTAGCCATGAGTCTGGCTTTATGCCAAGCCCTGTGAGTCCTCCTAGCAAATCACTGGACCTGAGGGTGGCCTTGGGGACCCCTGACACACCATGCATGAGTGAGCTCCAGTCCATATATGTATGTACAGGGTAAGCACATGTGTGCCTATGTGTGTACTTGCCCTTATGTGTAGTGTGTGACTGTGAGGGACTACACATGTGTGAGTGAGTCCAAGTATTTATATGGGTAGGTGGCCACATGAGTGCACACACCCTCATATACAGAGTGACTGTGTGTGCACAGGGGATGTGTATGTGTGTATGCACCCATGTGTACCTATGGGTGTACATGTGTGTCCAGCTGTGTGCATATGAGGCATGCATATGCATGCATGTGCCCACAAGTGTGCATAGAGGCTTGTATGTGGTATGGGACTGTGTATAGGAGTATGAGCGTGCCTGATGGTATATGCGTGTAAGTGTACTTGCACACGCACACATGACTGTGCATGCACTTTTCTAGACTTTCCACTGTGTCCAGTATCAGAGAAGACCTCAGCATTGTATAGCTCTAGGGACCTCAACAATGTATAAGTAATTGGGCCTCTGGGAAATGTGGCCCTCTCTTCCTAGGTTTTCCACTTTAAAAATTCCTATTCCTTTTATTTTGCAAATTATTTATGGGAAATTTTGAGCTAGTTAATGTGAAATGGCCCTGTGGGTTGGTGGCCAGACCCAGGCTTTGAATACAGGTGAATACAGGAGGGAGGGTTTCTAGGAAACACCAGGGTATGCCTACAGAGAAGCAGCACATAGACCTGCCCTCAGCTTCTACTGTGGGGTCCTCTGTTCCAGCTGGGTGACTTCAGACTAGCTCCCCAACCTCTCTTAGTCTAGGTTTCCCCATTTGAATTAATCCCAATATTCCTACTTACGAGGGGCAGCCTGAGCAGAATGGCTGGCAGACTCTGGGAATGCCAGCTCCCTTATTCTTCCCACAAACACTCTGGATTCAGACAGGCCTGGCTTCAAATTCAAACCCTGAGTGACTCCAGACAATCCCATCACTTTCTGACCTCAGTCTCAGCATCTGGGAAGGTGAGACACCACCGCACTCCACAAAAGCTGTGGGGAAGATCAAATGAGCTAGTCTATCGGTGCCCACGGCTTGGGGTTGTTTTAGAACTTGCATTTGATATGTTCCTTGACCTACTAATCAGGTAATTTAACCTACTAATTGGGTAATATTGGAGTGATGGGCAGGTTTTAATGGTAGATGAGCTTAGATTCACATCTGGGCTCTGCGAAGTAACTTCTTATTTTGCATGAAACTCCTGGTGTCTGTGAGTCTCAGTTTCTTCATCTGTAAAGTGTGGGAGGGTGGGGGGCAGTTGACAATGTGTATCAAGTACCCAGCACACAGTAGGTTCAAATATCAGTCCCCTCCCTTTTGTCTGGCTTGACATCGCCAGAGGATCCAGTCTTGAGTTTTACCCACAATATGATCACAGAAACCCGAATGTCACAATCCCTTTCCCTTATTGGTGCCACAGCCTGGCCCAGCCCCAGTGATGTAAGAGCAAAGGCGGTCTGAAGGTCCAAGCCCCACATTGGGGAGCTCCTGCCCCCTGGTGGCCAGAGAAGGGACAGACAGGCTAGTGTCCAGACTTTGGTGGCCGTTCATTGGAAGGTAGCTTCTGGCCTGGGGCTGGGCTTGATATGGAGAAGTCACTAGAGTTGGGTCAACCTCTGCTCACTATTCTCCCATGATGGGTGGGCCCAGAGCAAGTCTCTGCTACCCTGGGCTGACAAGGGGCTTCTTGATCTCCCAACTAACACCTGCCAAGAAGGGCACAGCATAGCTCCACAGACCACCAGCTGGTGTTCGGTTCCTGTTCATTGGAAGGTAGCTTCTGGCCTGGGGCTGGGCTTGATATGGGGAAGTCACTAGAGTTGGGTCAACCTCTGCTCACTATTCTCCCATGATGGGTGGGCCCATAGCAAGTCTCTGCTACCCTGGGCTGACAAGGGGCTTCTTGATCTCCCGGCTAACACCTGCCAAGAAGGGCACAGCATAGCTCCACAGACCACCAGCTGGTGTTCGGTTCCTTGGAGAAAGTTCCTTGGGAGGGAGTAATTGGTAAAGGGCCACGAAAAACCATTATGGTGTATATTGCTGAAAATACTAATTATCCTGATTTGACCATCCACATATTGCACACAAGTACTGATAATCAACTCTACCCCACAGATATGTATAATCAACTACGTTATAATAAAACAAAATTTATAAAAGAAAGCACTCAGTTCAAGTCTAAATGGGGTGGGAGAGTTATCATATGCACATTTCTATCTCATGAATAATAGCAGGAGTGTGAACTACTCACCTAGCAGCATCAGGCCACTTCAAAGTAAAGCTCAGGCCTATCCCCACATACCAAGAACATGCTAAGCACAGGGCAAACATACTCCAAATATACAGAAAGGGGCTTACGCTTGGCAAGGGAGGAAAAGCCTCACCCTGCTGCATCCCTGAGGCTCGCATCCCTGCACCCACTCAGGCTCCCCTCCCCACCAGCTGCCATCCCCATGAAGGGCCTGGGATGAGCGAGCATGACCTCCACGCAGCAGACCAACCTGCCCTGGCCGTCTCTCTCACTTCCCTGAAATTCTGTCCTCCCCTACCACAGTATGTCTTTACCAAGGGCTCCTTAACAGCAGGGCAGGGACGGGCCAGCCAACAGGAGGCTATATACACCCTCTCCTCTCATCCTGAAACCCCTCACATCCCAACCCTACCACATCCTGCCCTGTCACAGCCCTGTCACACAGCCGTCAGGCAGGGCAAGGCTGGGGCTCAGGAGGAGCTGAGGCATTCACCACCAACTTGGCTCCAAGGACTTCTCAGTAAACGGGCAGTAACTTGTTAGCCTTCTCAACAGCACTGCCCCCACCCCCGCCCCCCACACAAGCACATACACTTACTTCCTGATTTTCAGGCCCTCTTCGTTGTCTGGGAGGAAAAACTCAAAAGATTTGTACGTCTTGACCATGTCCCGACGGTACTGGCCAACGTTGAATTCTGGAGGGAAGGAGAGACTCAGATTTCATAACAACAGCAACCCTCACCCTGACCCACCCCAGGCCCTACCCACAGTCCAGTCTTTTCTCTTGTCTTCCCTTCCCCCGACAATGCCCCAATGTCCCCTTGGACAGCTGGGGCCAAGCCTCACCCCGAGTGGGCACACCAATCCAGTTCAGGTATCGAGTCAGCTTCTTAGAAATGTAGGTCTTGCCCCTGGCAGGCAGGCCCACCATGACAATGAGTGTTGGGCAGTTGGTCATGCAAACTGGAAGACAAGCAGCACACAGTGTCAGCTACAGGCCAGGACCCCTCCCAGTGTATCCCTCCCTCTCTGCCTGTGGTCTCTCAGCCTCAGGGCACAGGACTGCACCAGACATACCTTCCCGGCCTCCTGGCATCAGACGGCTCCCTGAGTGCCCCCAGACCCTGGTCTCAAGCCACTGCTGACATGGCCCCTTTCCTCAAGCCTGCTGGGCTCTGGCAGACACAGTGCATCTTGCCATCCTGATGTGTACCATCAGATGTAAAGCTCAACTGACCATGCCCCTGCCTAGACACTGCTAGGGAGCTCCCCACTGCATGAAGGGCAGTGCCAGAACCCAGCAGGGTATCCAACATCTTGTCTCTGTCACGCAGGAATCCATACCCCGGGCCTTCTCACGTCTCCTCCCCAATAATCATTTGCGTTCACACACAGCACACTGCTCACCCTCCCTGTGGTGAATTTCTTTTCATCTACAAAGCCCAGCTCAAAAGCTGCTTCCTCAGTGAGTCCTTCCTCCAAGGCATCTCCACACCCACCTGGTGCACCCTCACCCTCAATCCTGGTCACCCCACTGAATCTGCTTTCTCCAGACTGACCACTTGGAGCAGAAGCAGCCCTGCAGTTTCTGAGTCATTCAGAGACCTGGGGCTTGGCATAGAGTTGGTGCTCAGGAACCACGGGCAGGAGCTGGGAGGTAGGCATCTAGAAGCCTAACAGGGTAAGGGTCACAGGGGCTGAGACTAGAGACCCAGACCAATGCCTACAAGGATGGTACCTCTGATAGCCCACCCACTGCTATCCCATGTCCCACCAGGTCAGTGTGCCAACCAGAGAAGTTGCCAAGGCTGGAGGTGGGGAAAGGTTTGAACACAGGCCCCGACCCTAGTTGTCAGGGACGGACACTTAGGTAGGAGAAATGCCAGCCTCATGTAAGCCAGTTCAGCTTTAAAAGCAGTCAAATGTGGTCTCACCCCAGAAGGCTCAGGAAGTTTCCCTTCCACAATCCTTAGGAACTGTGCCAGGTAAAAACCACAGTAGTCAGACAGCTGGACAGATGCAGGGACTCGTCACTGTCTCTCCTTTGCCTACTTGATTGTGCAAGCGCCTTTAACTGGTAGCACTCCTTAGGGCCAGGTAAAAACCACAGTAGTCAGACAGCTGGACAGATGCAGGGACTTGTCACTGTCTCTCCTTTGCCTACTTGATTGTGCAAGCGCCTTTAACTGGTAGCACTCCTTAGACAGACTGGCTGGTCCCCCCTCAACTGTTTCGCTCTGAGCACAGAGGCCCTGGGGCAGCTCTGCCTGGGGGTCAGAAGTCAGACAGGCCTGTGCTCCTATCTTGACTCTGACACTTACTGGCAACTCTGAGCCTCGGTGTCCTCACCTGTAAAATGGGATGATAATCACTCAGTGAGGTCTAGCATCATCCCCATGTAAAAGCCCAAGCACTCCCAGCAGGCGTACCTCAGCACCAACTGCCCTTAGGACCAGGGACATGGAGGCAGCAGCCTGGCTCCAGGTAAACCCTGCAGAGAAGCAAAGGGTCCTGCTTGCCAGATGGGACTCCAGCACTCCTGTGTGTGGCCTTTGCACAAATGTGACCCAAACTGTGAGTCCCAGGGGAGGGAAGAAGGGGAACTTAAGGAACACAAGCTGACAGTGAGTGAGAGAGAGGAAACTTGCAGAAAAACCTCAGCACTGGCGAAGGTGAGAGGAAAGCAAGTTAGGCAAGGCCCTGCATCCTCAGGGCCAGCAGAAGACTGGGGCCTGCACTGTTTGCACAATTCTTGGCCTGGCTGGCCAGGGCTCTCAAGCAACCCAAGGAGGAAGTGGCGGCCACCCCCTCCCACTGCTCCCTCAAGGGTACTCCCACAACCTCAGGATTGAAGTTCTGTACCTCCCTCACATCTTCTATCTTCCTAGATGGCTTTGGCCTCCTCTCACAGCATTTGCTACAGCGTCCCCCTACTCCCCCCCCAACCCCCCGCCCACCCATATGCACAGCACAAGGTGGCAGGCAGGGCAGCAAATCAGACCTGGGCACAAAACAAGGCAATAAATTACCTAGTACCTCTGGTCCTCAAGATAAGCTCCCAAGGAAATGACCCAAAAGAAAAACAAAGTTCAAGTACACTCACAATAGCTCTGCTTGCAACAGCAAAACACTGGGAAAATCCTAGCAACAGATAAATTGCAAACTGAGGCACAACAAGGAAGGAGAACACTACAGCTCTTGAAACAGAAAGCATGTGGCCCAAGTGGGCTGGGGTGTGCAGCTGGAAATGCAGCTCTGAGCCCATAAGGACCCCAACTGAGCAAACAGGACAACAGAACACACGGTTGACAACACTGAGCACGTGCAGAAGGAAATCTGAGACACGCCAGCCCAGCTTTCTTCACTGGTTCCTTTCTGTAAATTTGCTGCAGGCCACAAAAGCCCTAGGAGCCAAGAGGCCTGAGACATGCCTGGCAATGGACAGTACCTACTTCCCGGCACTTCCACCGAAGGGGGAACCACAAGTCCCTGGACTGAGTTCCAGAACTGCTTCCTGAACTGCACCTGCTCCCATCTCCTTGGGCCAGGCTGGGGAAGGAAGAACTCTTTAAAATAAAGCAACACGGCAGGGTGGCCCCATTCAAAGGCAACAGAAAATCGTCTCTCCTATTGCCCTGTGCATACACCACTCATGTCATAACCTTGCCACCTTGCCACCTTATGGCCGAGAAAAGCCATCAGACAAACACTGACCTTTCTGTCTTGCTCCCTGAGTCACCTCTTCATCCTCTGCCTCATTTGCCCCCAAAGCTCCTCCAGGTCTGAGCTGAGGGGCAAATGATGGGGAAGGTAAGAGCTTCCAAGCCCTCAGGTGTGGCTCTGAATTTTTTCAAGTGGGGCTGGAGGAGGCACAGGACATGCCTTAGTCAACCAGCCCCTGGTCCCCTGAGAGGCTGGGGACTAGACCCCAGAGAGAACCCCCTACACAGCACAGACCAGCAGTGGGCACTGCTTCCTCCTCCCCACAAAGCCCTGTGACCAGATCCACTTCCATCCCCCCCCCCACCAACCCTCAGGGTCCTTACGTACCTGTGGTCCTCCAATCTAGTCAAAAGCCCACTGTGCAAAGGGTAAAATGTTGCATGAATGCAGGCGCCAGAGGTGTTGCACAGGCGGGCTCCATGTTCATTCACTGCTTATCCACTCACTGCTGTGAACTCTGGGATCCCCACACAACCTGCAGGTCTCATCTTTGGCATCTCAGGTGCCGCCTCCTCCTCCAGGAAAGTGTGGGCCCAGGGCCCAACCTACCCCAACACCCTGAGACACTGCGATGGCACAAGCCCCTCTGCTCAGGCCAGAGACACATCTAATCCCACTCTTAGAGCTTGGAGAAACACTTAGAGTTTGAAGAGCTTTGGAGGTTGTCTCAAAGCTGATGCTTCGATTTCCAACTCTGATGCAATGAGAAGGAAAGAAAGAACAGTGGTGATGAGGAAATGATCTGCCACCACTTACCAAGGACCTGCTTGTTAGAGACTCACAGCTGCTTCATGGAGCAGAGATGATGACTGTCTCATCCCACAGATGAGGAACCTGAGGCCTAGAGGGTCAGCTCCTTGCTCAAGGTCACACAGCTGAGCCAGGATGCAGCTTGAGTGTTCCCACCTCCAAAGTCCTGGTCCTCACTCCTCCCCCTTTATGTAAAAACAGCAGCCACTCCCTAGTTAGGACCACACAGTCCGGGCTAGAAGCACAGACAGGCTAGAAACACAAGAGAGAGGGGGGCCTAAGATCCACACCTGCAGAAGAGTCTCAAAGGAGGGCTGGCCAGGATATGGCGATAGCCCCTCAGGACTCAGAGTATGGATCATGGACAGCCATGGCCCCACCAGCACTTACATAATGGTCAGAGCCACGACCCACCAGAACTCAGTCTGGTTAGAACCATGGCCACCCCCTACCAGGACAGATACACACACATCCCTCCCCTCCCAAGGACTCAGAGCATGGTCAAATCCACGGCCCCAGGCTGGCCTCCAAGCTTAACAAGCACAGAGCACTCTCTCCTCCCTTATCATACATAAACAGAGGTCAGGAGTACAGGGAGACCCTGGCACATCACATAATCTCTCAATCTCCATTTCACCATGAGTTGGACTAGATGTTCTCTGAAGTCCTTGCCAAATTGCAAATTTCACTACAATGTTTCAGTTACTCTTAAATCTTTTTCCTTTTGCAGAGTCATTTAAGGACAGGCAGAAAGTCCAGGAGGCAGATTACTCAGAAGCCTAGGAGAGGTGAGCCCTTGGCAATTCCATGGATTTCGGCATATCTCTTAGATGTTGCACCCTGCAGTTTCACTATTCATCCATGACCTCACGTGGATGCTAACACGCCTGTGGACACAGAGACAGGCCCATATGGCAGTGTTCTCACTGTCTATCCTGAGCACAACTGCACTTCCCTAATGTTCCTCCCAAAATGTGGTTTTAAAGCCAAAGGACACCTTTTTCTCCTGCTGGAGAACAAGCCCATGCTTAGGCTTTTGAAAGTTCTGCGCTCAGAGAGGCCAAGCAATTCCCCTAGGGCCACACAGCTCAGTTTTGTTCTGACCACCCGGTCCACACTCTCTGGCCAAGAGGGAAGGGCTCGCTGTTCCCACGGAGTCAGCCCCTGGAGCGTGGGCGTGGAGAGGGGCGGGGGTATGGAGTGCGGAGCAGGGGGCTGGTGCCCTCCCCCAGGGGATGGTGAGCAGACCTAGCTCCCGCCAAGCCAAGAAGCCCCCACCCACCTGTCACCGCCCCCTGATCTGCCATAACAGTCTCCGGCCCACCACCGTCACGGCTGCCTCACCTGTCACCAGCTCTCCACCTGCCCCCGCTCTCCCCACTAAGTCACTGCAGCCTTACCTGTCCCGAGTTCCCCATCTGTCCCCGGTCCTCTCTCCACGCGAGACCCCCGCCCAGGCCGACCTACCCACCCATACCGGTGCGC